ATTGGATCTACGGCTGTGAAAAGCCATCCTGTGTAGCTCGCAGGGTCATGGAGGCGCGCAAGCCATCACACCGCGTCAAGGTGCAGTCTCGTCGTGATGGACCCTCTGTGGTGATCAGCTGGAAGTAGTCGAGAGCTTTAAGTAACTCAGGAGCTTGATCGCAGCTGATGTTGGTGTTGGAGAGGAGATCAAATCAGGAATAGCGAAAGCTAGAGCAGGTTTTACCAACCTGCGACACCTGTGGCGCCACCATGATATCCGACTGTCCCTTTTTTCAGTCAAGTCGAAGTAAGCTTTATGCACCCGTAGGGTGAATTTTCAGCGAAGGGTGTACATCAACGTGGTTCGTGATGCCCTGCTTTACAATTGCAAGACCTGGCCCCTCTGCGTTGAGGGTGATAATCGACTTTCTGTATTGGACCACCGATGTCACTGAAACATTGTTCATATTTGGTGGGATCATCGAGTGAGCAATGAAGAGTTCCGTCGTCGTGTCTACGAATAGTGGGTGCGAATGGTCTAGCTCTAAAAGAAGTGATCGCTCTAAACCGCCTTCGACGGCCTAGTTAGGTTTTGTCGTATGCCTGCCCTTCGTCTACCTTTCTGTGCTATCTTTGTACTTGATCGTCGTAGGTGGGAGAAGCGACGTAGCGGTCAGACCATGACATGGTGTAGAGGGGTGAATAACCTGGCTTCAGCTTTGTCTTCGGTTGATGTAGCCTGCCTTCCAGATTGGAGCTCACAGGTTGAGGACTGACGCTGGTTAGAGACACTAAGAGATATGGCCCAGAAAAGAAGTCAATGGCGCAAACGCTGTGCTGCCAGCCTGTTCAAATCCCATGCCCCATAAAAAACGATAAAATAACACAAAAACATCAAAAACTGTAGGGTGAAACAAACAAAAATGTCCTTCTCATCATTCCACTTAATTGTCTGACCCTCTTTTACTCTGCTATGTATCCACCCACCCCCCATGTTCTTTTATTCTTGTTGTTGGGCTGGCCCAAAGCTTCCTCGCAAGCGGGTGGTATAGTTTTATAGCGTGTGTATAATTACATCAGCCCAAATTCCCAAGTTAGGAGCCACCGGGTATCATGGCACTTGAGAGATATGCATGGCTGTCCGCTGCCGAGCTCGCTATCGAGCTATCGATGAATGGATACGCTCAACTAGGGGTTCACTGGGAATAACTCCCGGCTCATTGTGACAAGTAAGTAATCGTGAAAACAGTCGCGGCACCACACCTTTTTCCATCAAGCTTTAGCCAAAACTCGCAATTCTTGAGCCTCGACTGTCCTAATTGTTGTAAATATTGCAGCGTTAATAAACTGATGGTATTACGGAGGGTGCATTTTTGTGAACGGAGTTTATTACTCTTGGCCTATTAATATATCTTCCTCTCAAAAACGGAGATTACCGTAAGTGGAGATACGGAACGGTAAGCAAACACCTTTGATTTATTTCAGGGCATGTGAACGGAAAACGAAATACCGTTTGTGTTACATGTAAGGTTTTTAGCTACAGGAGTAGCAAATTTCAGATTCCCCTGGTAGTAACGCCATGCGGCATTTGATTCGTCGGTAATGGGGCTATAAAAACACAACAAAACATAATAGCATGTTCATATGTCGGGAGTATCTTGAATCATGAATATCATACAAATATTATACGTGTTATCAATGGGTTTCTATCACGTTACTCCGTATTAATCACTACTGAGCACCCGGGTGTTCTAGTAGTTTTTATCTTATCTTGTACCAAATTTATAAGACTCCAAGAAGCTAGCTCATCCACCCGCAGGAGATGGTCGTATCCAAGTAAAAGTATATATGGTAGTATATAGTAGTATAGTATATATAGTATATCGGGTACAAAGGAAATCAGAACGATCTATGCCAATATTATGTTCTATCTTGTCGGCTAGAAAATGAGGTATCTAGGCGAAGCGATTGCGAAGATCTACAAGAAAATCTGTGATTGAGCCGATTATTCATCTTAGCAGTCATACAAAAGAATGGGTTAGTATTTGGTCTAATTGGTATCAAAACTCGGCTGCTGTCGCCAGACATTTCAATGTCCATAATTGGCCAACAAAGCACTATTTATTCATCTCCAGTCTCGGTAAATAACAATATCATTCGTGCAATTATTGTAATTAAATTAAGTGTCTACCACCGGTGCACGCTTACAGATTCAAGCGGAAAAATTGGCATAGATTACCAGGCTTGGTTCCGAAAAATACATACAACTGCTCAGATATAATTGTGCATTCATATTTCTATATAAAGAGCGGTTTAATTTGGGTACGATTCCCTCCAAGGCGCTTCGCCCTTCCAATGTAACACATGCACTCCTGAGTCCATTGGTTTTTCAATCGATGCTATTGAGGCGAATGTAATCAATGCTCAGTTCCGAATGGACGACAACAAAGGACTACATTTTGACAACTTTGCAATGGATTTCATGATCACCATCCTGATTAGGAATAAATACCTATAATGCTTCAATGGATGACCAACGCATTTGTGTATAGGACACTCAGTCGCTGTCTCTTGCCGTAAAGATCGATGTGAATGATAAACAGGAAGTGATAAATGCATTCGATAGATAGTTTTAATTCGGAACACCAAAACCAGCGATTTTTCGGCGGGCATAGCATATTTCATAACGAACCGAGTTTAAATACGTCCTTATAACCAACCTCACGTGTGCAACACAAACCGGAATGCGTTAGTGAGTGAAAGTGGAAAACTACAATACGTGACATGCACGGTGGCTCCAATCAGTGCAGTTAATCAACACGTATGATACGCGCAGAAAAAGCATACTGTAGCGATATTTACAAAACCAGGGCATCGAGTGGTTAAACATAGTGGGATAAGTGCATAAACTCCAACAATTCTAGTGGTAAGATGTGGTGGGGTTCCAATGGTTTCTCAGTGGCAATTGATACATTACTTGGTGCCTGATGACCCCACATTGCACAACAAGTTTAGTTTGTCAGATAAGTTCATACGAACTGGAATCCACATAATCGACCTTAAAATGAAGTTAGATCTTCCTGCTCGTCTACTCCTTACACACACAACTGATCAGATTGCGAATTTTGTGATCGAGAATGCAAAGTGCGATGATGAGGGCGTCCACCTTCACATGTTTGACACAAAACACAGAAACACCGAGGACTTACTGGTCATGAAACGTTTAAGTGACAACAATCTGCGCTGGCTGTAGGTGAATTGAATAGGGAACAGGAACAGAAAAAGTAAATGGTCAGGTGCACATTAAAACACAATGCAACAATAGGTTTTGGTGTCACGAATTGACTGAAATCGTAAAAGCATACCCGTATGGGAGCTATGTGACCCATGCTGCGTGCGATTTCTCGCCATTTATGTTAGGTTTTATCGCCAAATTGTAATGAACAAGAAATAAAGAAATATAAATATAATAAGTGTCTTTTACTTCCTTTTTCGTTTATTGACTAGAGAAATGTGCCATAAACCTTCAGGACGGGGGCCGTGGCCATACAAAAGCTGCTTGGGGAAACAAAGAAAATGGGAAAGCTGGGCGGCGGCGGCGGTGACAGGGTTCAAACTCAGAACCCCCAGCTTAATCAAAAGGAAATAACCACACACACACAGACAGACACAAATGCACTACTGTCAGTAAAATACTTTGTTGGTTGGTTTCATGAACTTTTTCAGCAATACGGCTCTTGTATTATCGGTGTATCCCGTTATTCTAAACTCTATGCAATATCCCGTGCAGGGTTGCATTGAGAACATGATTCGAGGAAGAAACCTGTTGGCGGTAGCAGTGTTGGTGAATGGTGTTTATGAATAGCCTTCTGCGGTTCCTGTATCTCTTATATATATGACTCAACTGTACGCTGAAAGACGAAAAGGGATGCAAAGTGTCAGCTCTTTGGGAAAGATACTCGTTATCAACACTTTACTAGTAATCCCGTTTTTTACCACTTAGTTCTGGTTAATCGCGGAATTGATTAGTAACAACTTCATCGTTTGAAAAAACATTTATTTGCTTAATCGTAATTCAAGATTATACGGATTGGCTAACACAAAATGTGTCGAAAAAGGATTCCATATTTGTCCAACGGACAAATGTTTGAGGGATTAAACGTATACATCAGCTTTATCACCAAACCCAACAGCTCCATGTTAACGGTTGGATCAATGCAGTCTAACAATTACCACTTCTAAACCGAAATACACGGACAAAATATGTTACTATTTAGTCTACAGCCATGAGTTCCCTACATTTTAAAATGAAGCCTTTTGGCAAAAGCAGTGCTAAAACGTACCTAATCCTGGTTGGTGTAGGTTTGAAACCGACAATATTACACATGGCAGCAGGCAAACGAATACTGCCACCCAGATCGGTACCAAAACCGAGAATAGATCCACCACCACCAATCAGAGCAGCCTCTCCGGAACTGCTCCCTCCCGGACTACGATCCAATGCTAGTGGGTTCAAAGTGACTCCGTCGATTGGATTCCACGAGAGGATGCTGTGGGAGGCCGGGAGGGAGGTGAACCAAACAGTCAGTCGGAGCAGTGCATTAAAATGGGTTAAAAAATAATTTTGAAAGTGTATACCGAAAACCACGGTACAATTGCAAGTCGTGTTTCTGGGATTTGTTCGACTGTTTGCTACATGCTTCCTAAACTGAAGCAAATGAGGATTCTACGCTCTCGCTGTATGTAAATGACGTGGAATGAAATCACACTAGCACTTGGCTCATATGGTTCTGATAAATTTCCCATGACAGATGATGTAGGATTCTTGTGCACCTAATTATTACCAATATCAGATTGCGTTACATCTTCTGAACACATGCTGCATTGAATCTAACTGGAATTATGCCCAGAGATGATCCGTCAGAACTAGGGCAAAGTAGAAACGTTTTAACATAGCAATATAGAAACTTACCTGAGCATAGCTTGCGGCACGTTTGTTCTTACGAACGGCACAGCTCCAAGCGAGTATAGCACGCTTATCATCACAGCGTCGTCCTTGGATGGACCGGTGAGAAAGTGGGACATTCCGGCGTAACTTTCGTGTCCCTACATTAGAAGAGCCCATTCAATGATTGATACTTTTTGTGTTCAGAAAATGATGGCCTTATAGCTTCTTTGTTGCAATATAACTTATGCACTTGTCTACATCTACATTTCATACAAAAACATGATCATCAGTATACGGGAAATAAATAGTGAGAAGTAGTGAAAATGGTGGAAAACATTTATCAAAACTCAACGCGAAAATTAACCTCAGTAAGTTCACAATGGATCACAAAATACCCTCAAGTATTATTCAATAGCAGAGCATCAATTAATCAGAAAAACAATGCCGCAAAATCCATTTGGTTTTAAAGTGAGAATGGCAGTCTGGTGGGTGAAAATCTTACTGAGGTTTCCAGTTAGATCAACCAACTTTCTGACTGCACTCGAAACACGACTAACGACTGTCCATAGGCACCAAAGGGTAGCAAGTTGGGGAACATTAAATTAGATAGACAAAATGCGTTATACATAAAAAGCATTGTTAAATCCTGCACTCTAAATCACCGCAGCCTCTGAGCCTTAAAGGAAAAATTTGCACACGAGTGAACAACCCCACATTGTTGCTCACTAAAACTGTATTGCAAAGAGCGTATGGTGCTACGGTGTATACGAGACTGTCCGGAGACTATGTGGAATAGAAAAACCGTCAGGAAAAGGCACAGCCAAATGGATTAGAAATAACCCGACAGAATATCACGTGGACGTTAGAACACACGGTGGTTTATTAGTATACGTCGGGTACAGACGTGGAAAAAGTATTTTCGTTTATTGCATTCCTTCTATAAATGAACGCTTAAAACCTAACAAGGAACTACAAAATATACCTACAAGACGATTCCCAAATCCAATTACTTCCAAACGATTTCTAGAATATGCAGGATACTAGATACATACCCCATCATTACCACACAACTTTATCAAGTATTGCCTGAAAATTATGAATACCATTCGTAAACGTTACTGCTTATGTATTGTTCGATGATTACAAAAGCGTGTCAAATCAATAATTCGTCTAGATAAGGGCTCCCTACGTCGAATTTACATAGAAACTTGAAATCTGGTACTGCCTTTCCCTGAAGTGTGTGTCCGAGAAATTTATTTCGATCTTACGCTCCCTTTTTACTAATAGCCAAAGTCGAGTCCGAGTTTATGGCACTTATTCCCCCGAGTTCACCACAGAAAGTGGTGTTCGACAGGGTTGCCCTCTCTCTCTACTTTTTTATTTAACTTTGTTATAGATATGATTATGGAAATAGCCCCTTACTCGGGCTAGGATAGCGGCCTCGATTTGCTCCCAGATGGTAGACTGCCTGATCTTCAAAGGGTTGGTCCATCACCCAGTCTCACTTTAACGGGGCAAGTAATAGAGCAACTGAATACGTTTTGTTCTTTTGGCAGCTACACCTCACCCGGTGGACGCATCACGCATAAAGTGTCAGCTCGCGCACTGAAGGCTCCCTGCTGCAAAATACAGTTTGTATGCACATTATGCCTTGACATGAACTCTCTGGTTGTTCAGATACATTTTCCGGAACCGCAGCACTGAGAGTAGAACTTTACAGGAAACTACCCCACACTAGGTTGCGTGATTGTTCTCAGTTTAGCCTCTTGGATCGTTCTGATCCACCTACATTTTTATTTGTTTTTAATCTGTAACCAGATAACATCGTCAGTCTTGTAGAAGGAGAACAGTCGAAAGTAACAAATTGAATATTATTTTCAGTACAAATTGATCTAAACTGAAATAAAAAAGCACCAAGCTGATAAGTTTATCTGGTGTAATAAACATATCGACTGAATGAAATTCAAGTGTCTATATGGAGGGACGAATTGACAATGTCCTAAGAAAATAAGTTAATTATGATGATAGATTCTTCCTTGATAAATAAAAAACTGAAAATTACATAATATCAACGATTATCACAGAAAGTGTACAACACATACCTTGACCCTGTAGTTATCTTTCACACTGACAGGCATCCCAGCTAACGGACCCGATAAATTGATGAGTTCGAACTAGATGTACGGGGAAAGAGAGAGTAATGGCGAAGAAGAAGCAAAGCAAAACGAGAATTGCCGATTTATTACCGGTGACATTAGAATGATCACCAACGGAACAGTATAGTGAACAAACGTTGGCCAAAACTGCTGAATATTGTGTACCTTGATTTAATTTACTCAGCGCATCGTGAATAGGATGTAACACTTCATTTCAGAGCAAAATACAATGCAAGAAACCTGCCGACCGGCCGGTGCAGTGAACGCCAAGATTAACCAGGATAGTCAACTGGACCTGGGAGTCTGATTGTGAAACACATTCACATTCAACAGTGCAATAAGGTTAAACACACTGAGCTATCAGCACTAATAAAACAGTAAGCGTTGACACATGATGAACCAATAATCAGGAAGAATATCATGAGTCAAAAGACAAGAGATAATGAAATGGCTGAGAGTAGTGAGACAAAGCGGGATAAAGCTTGTGATTAACGAAACCTGAATTTTCTTGGACATCTCTATCGTAAATTTTCGTCAGAAATATGGTGGTGGCTATAATGAAAAATGCGCCCCAAATTATAGCAAACTTGACACGTGGGTCTTTAAAATAATGGCAGGAAGCACTAAATCTCCGAGGGGGAAAAGGTTACTTGATTTACTTCCACTCACATCAGGATACAGAAATTCCACCACGCAGTTGCAGCGCTCATCCACGGCGAAAGCTTTGTGCTGATAGGCCAGAAGAGCGCGTGCCGGTGTGATTTCACCATTCTTCAGAGCAAACAACAGCTGAGAGAAGGATTTGGAAACAATCTGTTCCACTTCTTCAGGAGTCTAAGAGATGGAAAATATGATTTTTAGGTTCAAAGAGAGGACATAACAATAACTCTAAATCACTTTTGCGGAATGGTAACCATAAGCAATCGCTTACCATCGAATTCTCACGTAAATACTGAGCAAATTCAGCCTTGGCAGCGATTTTTTCTGCCTTTTTTCGAGCTCTCCTATCAGCCCATTTGCGTCGTTTCATCATATCATTCACAGCCTTAGATAATAAATATGCCAAACCAAGACTGCCGACTATCCATATTCCTTTATTCCATTTGGTTGCAGGAAACTGAAACATCTTGCCCGAAAATCTACAAAAAGGTGTAAAGAGTTACACTTTTTGATGACATTGAAAAGATATCTGTCCTCTCCTAAGATTGGTAAAAATAAAGCTTGTTTACGAGTTCCAATAACGGTGTTCATCCAGAAAAGAATGCGACTCTGAGAAAACATCCTCGAAGTAACTATGTCAAAAACCTTTAAAAATCATTTTTTTTTCTTTTATTTTATAAAAAAGCATATATAGATCATGCGACTCCGTGACCTCGACGCTTCTCTTCAATCCCTCACGTTTTGAGCTTCATTCATGGGAATGGATACGGTATTACGTCACACAAGACAACATACTTGTTATAACATCAACTTATTTTGTTACTATTGTTAGTCAAACAACTTAGAAACGTACAAATCCCCTTGAAAAAACGATTGGGAGGGGGTTTTAAATGTGACATAAGCGAATATCAACCATTGAAGGGAACCTAAAACGACCAACGTGAGCAAGTTTCTTGCTTAGGGTTTTCATACCCTCATGCCAAATCTTAGTTTCACCACCCTTTAGCTTTTTCCACCAATCATCTGTTTCAGCAAACAGCACGTGCCGTAACAATCTATTTGGTGAAATGAGAAAGACATGCCTCAACCAACATAGTCTATAGAGGTTGACAAATTCTCCATTGAGTGACCGTTGTTGCCTGAAATTCTACTCCAAGGTGATGGGAACTGATTATCATCATCGCACAGCGAAACACAATGAAGCAAACTTCGATAATGGCTACCAAGCTCACATTCCATACAAAGTTGGTGAGATTGTACAAGGTAGGCTGAGATTGGGCCAATGTATACGGGAGCAGACAAAGTTCATATTTACAGGAACAGTCCTGTGTCCTTCGGGCGTTTAGTGTGTGTCTAAGTAACCCGATGCTATGGCCGGTGGCAGTTCGTTAAGCCCTCTCCAACTTCTGAAATTCGGCTGTTATGCAAGAATACACCACGAAGCTCGCAAACTCCAAGCGAGGTCGAACATGAGAGTTGTACAACGTCCTGAAACCGTCGTATGAGAGTTTGGGAAACGAACGGCGAATAGCTCCAAGGCTTATCAAACCTGAGACAGGCTTTCTCTCTGTTCCCTGGTTTTTAACGACGAGTAAACCAGCACTCCGAGGTCCCGTACACACATATGACAGTACGGAAGTACCAAAAGGGTAGGACACTCTTGGACTACCGACTAATACACATATAATGACATTTTCTAGGATTTCTCGATAACTCCCATGTGTGGGACCATATCATTGAAGCATTCAAGTACCCGTGTAAGGTGTTCATGTCACGTTTATACAACAGATACATATTCAAAACAGTCTGGCAGGTCGTTAATGAAAAGCATAAATAATATTGGCCCCAGTACTGACCATTGCCCAACACCACTGGAAACTGTCAACCATGGAGATCGTGACCCTGACGCTTCCACCGAAAATAGTCTGTCCTTCGGAGAGTCCTCAATCTATGATAACAGTGGGTGCTGGATGCCCATCAACTTCAGTTTCACCAACAGTTTTGCATGCGACATCTTGTCGAGTGATTTACTATAATCCACGAACACAGTATCCGTGAGATAACCATTGGCTTTGGACCTTGATCATTGTTCACGCGCCAATAAAAGGTTGGATAGACAGGAGCGGCCTTGGCGGAAGCCGTTTTGTTGGGGACAAATAATTATTTGTCCTTAAGGCAAGGTGATAGATAATGTGCATTGCTACCAATTTTTCTACCAGTTACGCGCAGACCACCGGTTGTTCTTATCCAGCACCAAATTTCAACACAGCTCTCGATCGACAGACACATGGCATTCTAATTTAATATCATTGTACAGCGAAATAGAGTGAAGCAAACTTCATTTGTCACTGGCCAACTGTGGTGATCCAGGCCTACGCGATGACGCCTACTCTGGAGCGGTGCGTTACAATTTCTGGACATTTGCGATCAATCAAATTTGAAAGATGACGTCAATGACACGCACATGGCTTCTGACTACACGTCATTGGTAGATCGTGCCAGCCAATCCGAGGCAGTGCAGACAGAAGCAGAATTATGCAAACAGTATTGCAATCCGATTGGTGGAAGCCTAGATACCCAATAATCCTCTTTTGTACATATTATTTAATCGCCTTCATTTCTTCCAATAAACTAACTACGTACTACTATTCCTGTGGCCTCTTCCTCGCGTCTTGTTCACCTGGGATATTGCAAGATCGTGCTATTGCGGTCCAATACTTCCGTAATCCAGTCCGTGACAGCTGATCCTAGATTCGTGTCCGGTGATTCCTAATCGTGGTTTGTATTCCGAATTCCTACTACTACTACTACAACCATTACAAATTAGTGTCGCTTGACGGAGCTTCCAACGATTGAGCAACTGAATCTGCAGGCAAGCCCATCTGAGATTGAGGAATGGGTTGAAAGATTCGAGCTGTGGTGCAGTATTCGCAAAGGTGGCGCACAGAATCAACCAGCCCTATTTCTTACTGCTGGTGGCCGTGACCTGTACTCCCTGTTGAGAAACCTGGCGTTACTGAGGCTCCGGCTAAACTACCATGAGTCCCTGAAGTTGCTGCTGCTCAACCACCTGCTACCCACTGAGTTCCGAGCACACGAAAGGGCCAAATTCAACTCCATGATTCGTGCCGATCATGTTTCCTGCCGTGAATTCATCCTGCAGCTGAGCAAACAGAAATCCCGCTGCAACTATGGTGATCGCCTGGAAGAAAAACTGTGTGACCGCTTGGTAGCAGGCATTAATAATCTGACTCTCCAAAGAAAGTTACTGGAGAAAAAGGATTTCACTTTTGCCGAGGCCCGCAAGATCTGTGAGCAACAAGACGACCTGATGAAAGCTACCTCCAGCGAAGCCGTCACATTATTTCAACGACAGAATACACGACCGAACCGACCTCCAATAGTCAAGTGTATCTCCTCTACAACACCATCACCAGCTGCGATCAAGCTCCCGAGGTACTTAAAGCTCTCAACCACAGAGGGTGAGTGCAGGCACAGGCTCCTGCCAGTCTTGAACAAGCACTTAGTACTTTGATGTTGCAAGGCACATACCATACCTGGATACCTCGATCGCCAAGCGGTTCAAAGCGTTTTGGACTGCCTGTTCGTTGTCACCCAGCAGGGCGATGTCATCGGCATATTCTAAGTCGAGGACTCTGTTTCCTGGAAGGGGTTCGACTCCACCGGTTGCTAAACCGAACAAAGCATTCTTCAAAACATCGTCTATGACCAAGTTGAAAAGGAATGGGGATATAGGGCAGACTTGTCGAACTCCACTGGAGACGGCGAAGGGTGGCGAAAGTTGGCCATAGGCCCTAACTCGACCTGAGGTATGACGATACAACTCCTTGAGGATCGACACATACTTCTCAGATACTACATTCTTCAGCAGACAGTTTCAAAGTGCGGTCCTATCGATAGAGTCGAAGGCTGCGCGGATGTCTAAGAATACAATGATCGTCGGTCTTTGATAAGCATGACGGTGCTCTAGCAGCTGTCGGAGGGTGAAGATTTGATCTATGCATCCACGACCAGCGCGAAACCCAGCCTGCTCCTCGCGGGTCTGGTCCTCACGCGTAGTGTTAAATCGGCGGAAAATGACGGACGCCAACAGCTTTGACGCTATTGGGATATGACTTATGCTCCTATGCTTGGCGCAGTCATTGCGCGGGCCCTTTTCGAAGATGGGGACAACAATCGATTCTGCCCACAAGGAGGGGACCTGCTCAGCGTTCCAAACTTTAGAGAACAGAACTTGCAGTTCTCTAATAAGCTTTACTCCACCATCTTTAAACAGGGCTATGTGACGCCCCAAGGCTTGAACCTCCTTACGGATTTCCGCCTCAGAAGGTGGGTTTTTTCAAACAGACCATGGTGCGGGTGTCGAAATAGCTGTGTGAGAAGCTGACGCTGGAGGCCGGCCTAACTGTGCTTTGAAGTGCTCCGCCCAGCGTTCAAGACGCCGCTGTTGATTGTGAATGGGCGAACCCTCAGCTTTGCAGATCGTTTCGCACACGCCCAAGGCTTTCCTACCGGTGACCCGGATGAGGTGGAACAGCTTATAGGAATTACCCATGGCGGCAGCGCGTTCCATCTCTGATGAGCGTTGAGACCACCAGATCTCGCGGTCTCTGTGTAGGCTTGCATTAAGTTCACGTCTCTTTACGAGTCGTGTTTCGTCATGCTCCCTGCCGGTCGGAATTGATCGATGTGCGTCAAGAAAGCGTAGAGACTCCGCAGAGATCCAGGGTGTCACTGCGTGACGTGTCAAACCACAACTAACTACGCAGAATGCACAGCATTCTTGATAAGAGACCAGTGCTGGTTAACATTATCGGGTAGGGTTGGTTCTAGCTTTACGGCTAGCGCGTTTTGGAAGACAGTTAGACAAGCTGGTTTGAACAGCCTATCACAGTCTAACCGTCGTTGTGTCGTGCATTTGGAACGCCCATCGAAGCACATGGACAGCTTGGCGCATACTAACGCGTGGTCAGATTTGAATGGAGTGCTCCAGTACAATCGGCAGTCTTGAATGCAGCCCCGCCATTTGTGGCTTATCGCGATTTGGTCGATCTGTGTCCGTCGCTGACTCGAGGGCGGCGGCCAGGTGGCGTACCGGCAGTTGGAGCGTCTGAAGCTCGTACTGGCGAGGATTAGGCAGTGGTCGAAACAAAGAGCCAACAGCCCCTCCCCGTTTTCCGGGCGGCAGGAATCTAGTCCAAAAGGACCTCCCAAGTGCGCCTCACTCGAAGTCAACCGGCCTAATCTAGCATTCATATCTCCGGCTAAATTCACGATATCAGCCCGGGTCGCTTTACGCAAGAGGTCGTGAATATTGTGGTAAAATTCATCTTTGACTGCATCTGGGCTGCAGTCCGTTGGAGCGTACGCCGAAACGACAAACAAGTTTTGTTTATCGTGGCGACGGCTGCTTATCTTGCACGAACCTCTGAATCTCACTGCGCA